ACACACACACACACACACACACACACACAGACAGAGAGAGAGAGATATCAAGGACGGAAGCTCCTCAGGCTGGAGCAGGTCCATGTGTTTTTCCATTCCAGAAGAAAGTCAAAATCCTTTCTTATTTTTAGTTCTTCAGAAGAGCGCTAGTGAGGAACATGACTTTGCCGTTATTATCTGCAGTCTTGAGATGTTTGTTATTTGGGTCAATGACAAATAAAGATTTGCAAGACAAGGATAAATCTCTTTCTATTCTTAGAAATGGACATTTTTATTGGATCTTAGAAACATGATCTTTACTGTGAAGTACTGTATATATGTATGCATGTATTATGTTCATTTTAATTATTATTTTAATATAAACATTAAATTAATGATTATTATACTGTTTTTACATTTTTCTGTTATTTTTTCTAAACCATTTGAATCTATTTAATAGATTGTATATATTTTTTTTTACATTTATATTTTTTCAACTGCTTACACGCATTTTAAACTTTGCCTCTTTTTTTTTCAAAACTTGACACTCAAATCCAAGAATTGCACACACAAAATGCAAAATGCCTCATAATCCTTTGCAAAATGAAGCACTGCATTCAAAATATCACAAACACATCTCAAAAGCAAACACCTTTGCCATAATATTCATTCCTGTTAGATTTTTGTGTGTTACTAGAGAATTGTGTGTTTTGCAAAAAGTGTTTTATGAAATTGAAAACGGAGTCAAAGGCTGAGAATTAGTGTATGGTTTTACAGATTTGGTGTGTGCTTCTGGTGTTTGAGTGTCAGCTTTCAGAAATTGCGTGACAAGTAAAGATTTTGTGTGTACACAGACAATTTTTTTTAAACAATTATAGAATTAAACAATTTTACATTTATATACTTTTTAAAATGTATTTACTATTGAATTTATATACTAAAAAGTTAATTTAAAAGTATTAATAGTAAAAGTCTATTTATATACTTACGTATTAATTTACTTTATAATTTGAATGTATTCATTTAATTTATATACTTTTTAATGTTAAAAATAAGATTTTTCTCCTTTTTAAATTTAAATCTATCATCGATAGTTAAACCATCATGCCATTTTTGCCTGAATAAATAAAGCAATTTAAAATAAATGATAACAATATTCAGTGTATTTAAAGTAACATGACATTTTTCGATAGATAGATAGACAGACAGACAGACAGATAGATAGATAGATAGATAGATAGATAGATAGATAGATAGATAGATAGATAGATAGATAGATCACAAAGGTCTAGTTTTACAGTTTGAAAGACTAGAAACATTTTTACAGACGTTTGGTGGTGATGTTGATGAAATATGCATGTTGCTCATAAAACATGTTGTAAAGCCACACCGCAGGTAGCGAAGCTTTCAGCACGAGCTTTCATATTCCAGGAAATTAGCCGTGTCTCCCTGATGGACTTCCACTCGGAGGCCAGGACAAAAAATAAAATGTGGCTTGATCCTCAGATTCTAATGTGAAGAATGAAAGAAAGAATACGCTCTGTGTGGTGTGTTTCAAGTGTCGCGCTCTGCTTTTACATTAAAAGCTTCTGGAAAGCAGGACCTGATTGAAAATGCACAGAGAGCATGAAAATCAGTGTGTACATGTCAGCCCGAGACTCTGAATGGTAATCATAGTGACAGATCGTCCCACATCAGAGCGCAGACAACATCCTGCCATAAGAGCCAGCCGTGCCATTAAAATCTTCCATCACTGTCAGCTCACCCACAATTCACTGCAGTGTGCCAATGCAAAGCATGCATTATTGCTCTCGTGACACACATTTTTACATGTTTGCCTTTGATTTGACCAGCTGAAAATCTCGAGGGTCAGTATCCTTGGAATTACAATTTGTCTTTCACCATTTAATGTATTTTTTGTTTATTCATCAAATGTTGATATGCATGAATTTAGGCACTTAAATAACTCAGAATGGTATTTTATCTAAATGTAGATGTATTCATAGTTTGACTACACTGACACTATCGGATGAGAAGAAAACTTAAAATGAAATAACAAAATAAAATTAGTAAAACAATAAAAGCGAGTTGAGTTGAATTGAGCTAAATATGCACACCATTGTCTTCTGTAGAACATTTTATATCTGAATCAAATTTGTTTTTGTTCGTTTTCAAAATTATTTATTTATTTATTTATTTGTTTGTTTGTTTGTTTGTTGACATTTCTGTTTCTGTATCTAAAAAAAAACATGAAAAAAAATAATAAAAATATAACTGAAATAAAATTTTAAAATAAAGCTTAAACTTGTATTATTTCTATTAGATGCCAGGGCAATTATTTAACATAACATTTTATTTTATTTTATTTTATTTTATTTTATTTTATTTTATTTTATTTTATTTTATTTTATTTTATTTATAGCATTGTATGATCTTCTGAATAACTGTAACCACAGTTATAATACATTATAATACGTATCTATTAATTATTACACCTTTAGAAAGTATAATGCATGAAAATAAAACCTTCAAATATTATATCACATTTCAACTTTGGTTACAATTATTTATGAAAAGTAACAATGCACTGCAACATACATTATAAATACCTTTATAATGCATTATACCTAAAGGCTTTAACTAAAGTGTTACTGAAATGTTGAACATTACACAAATTGTATGTAGTATTTTATTTTATTTTATTTTATTTTATTTTATTTTATTTTATATTTATTTATTTTTTTATTTTATATTATTTTATTTTATTTGTAACCTTAGCCACTGATTTAAAAATTCAGCCATGCACAAAGCTGGTTAAATTAGTTCAAATTGTAGGTATTCACATACTTGCATAGAGTAAGTATCATGCTTCAGGGATCCTGTCAAATCAGGATATAGTGTATAAAATGTATAGCTCAAAATGAGCACACTGAGCACATGAGCATAGACATTTATGCATTCGGCACATGCTTTTCTCCAAAGCTTGACTTACACTTTACACTTCATCAGTTCATGAATTCAGCTACAGTGAAATGCCTGTTGCGTTAAAGATATCTCCTTGTCATCGTACTTCATTCTTCATTTTCACCTCTTTTACAATAACTGTTTTTATACCCAAACCTCACGGACTGATGCATTCCCTCTTTGGTAATTATAGGTGTTTCAGGGATGCGGTCATCCCAAAGCAGCTGGAGTGGGCCGATCTGCCCGCGGGATCTCGGATGTGTTCAACAGTCGCTTTAGACCCTACAGTCCAGAAGAGAGGCCGACCACGGCAGCCGGCACCAGCCTGGACAGACTGGTGAGTGGGTGGCAGCGTGGGATGGCGTGAGTGGACGATGGTGACCTTTGCAGGTCGGACCTGAGAGAATGCAGCGGCCGCTGGGGAAAGCTTTAGTGGTGGTACTGGACGAAAAATGAGAAAAATTTATTTTTTTTTAGTGTTAAATTAAGTAGAAATAGCTCTAAAGTCCAGCTTAATAAGGTTGGGTGAAGGTTTTCATGGTTATTATTATTATTTTATTGTTTATTTTCTTGTTTTTTTTAGGCTTATAATGAAGTAGTGTCTGAGTGTATTGAGGTCCTCTTCTGGAATACAGCGTTCTCGTAACAGGAAAACAGGAAAATATGAATTTGACCTAACAGTGGAACAAGATTCCTTTTTTTTCTTGGCTTATATGAACATTTAGGGAGCACTCCATTTTATCATTTAATTGTCAAAAACAATTCTAGTACCAATTTACTTAATGCCTTTTTATGTCATGCATTATAAAAGGAGTTACAGTGCATTAATTCTACCTCGTAATGAACCTTAAAAAATAATTGTATGATCTTCTGAATAACTGTAACCACAGTACAATACATTATAATACTTATCTATTAATTATTACACCTTTAGAAAGTATAATGCATGAAAATAAAACCTTCAAATATTATATTGCATTTAAACTGGTTACAATTATTTATGAAAAGTAACAATGCACTGCAACATACATTATAAATACCTTTATAATACATTATACCGAAAGGCTTTAAGTAAAGTGTTACTGAAATGTTGAACATTACAAAAATTGTATGTAGTATTTTATTTAATTTAATTTAATTTTATTTTATTTTTTTATTATTTTTTTCATTTATTTATTTATTTTATTTTATTTTCAAGTGGTGTCTAAGTGTATGTGAGTACCTCAAGGAGTGTTAGAGGAGTGATAGATAAAATATGAATTTTACTTAAAAGATGCGTTGTAAATGTTTATTTTATTATTATTATTATTATTATTATTATTACTATTACTATTTTTATTTTTTTTATTTTATGAACATTAAGAGAACGTTCCATTTTATAATTTTGCAAACATTTTGAAACAAGTTCTAAATTATAAATAAATTATAAATAAGCAAGTAAGTTAGATGAACATCCAACTAAAAACATTCCATGAATCATTTATGAATCATTTTTGTGCTAATGTATTAATTTATTATTTTGTTGTTTTGTCTTTCTTTGGTCTAGGCTTATAATGAAGTAGTGTCTACAAGTTGCTCTACTAGAATAAAGTGTTCTGACTCATAATACTTAACAAGAATAGATGAGAATATGAATTTGACTTAAAAGTAGAACAAGATTGCATTTGCGCATAATCTTATTTTAGCCTCCAGCTAACTGGGAGAATTCATGTAAAATGACTTTCTATCCAATATGGGCGAGTGGTTTTTTTCCACTCAGCTGTGCATTGGATGAGTTTAAAGTTAACCCTGGAATTTATAATGCAGAGACGTGACAGTTAAATAAATGTTGAGATAGAGAGAAGTGTTTCTGTGTAAAGGGGATGTGCTTGGTTTTTAGACCGAGGGGAAAGGGATGGAATATCCCAGCAATGCCATTCATCAAATGTAATCGTGCATATTGCTTTTCTGTCTAATGCATATTTATCATGTGTTTGCCCGTGGTATGCTTTCTCTCTTTCTCATCTCCACTTTCAATGAAATCCCTTTTTTCCTCTGTTTTTTTTGCTTCCGCATCCCAGAGGATTGTCTGGAGGACGATGCAACACAGCGTAAGCCATCCAACCCTCCTCTCACTTTACCTCCGTCATTTGTCTTGTGGCTTCCAGCCTTCTCTCCATCTCTCCCTCCTCTCCTTCATCTGCTGGTGTACTTTCTCTTGTTTTCTGAGTAGTTCTGTGCTGTATATCTGTGCTGGCGAGACTTAAGGAAGCTGTTTGGTCCATCCTCTCATTAAAGGGATAATTCACTTAAAGAGTCTGTCACCATTTACTCACCACCATGTCGTTCCAAACCACTTTACTAGTCACTCTTTTTTGTGCAATTAGAATGCATGGGGACTGAAGTTTTCAAGCTTGAAAAAAAGACACAAAAGCATCATAGAACTAGTATGAGGGTGAGTAAATGATGGCAGAATTAGTATTTTTGGCTGAATTTATGTAGGATGTGTATTGGGTTACATCCATTATGGTTCACAAAAGTATTACTGTTCAAAAGTTTAAGTTCAATAAGATATTTTTGAGAATTATTTTTTTATAAAACATAAAAAACATAAAGAAAATGCATGTTAAGAAAACATCAAATTAATAAAAATGTACAAAAAATATTTTAAATAAATGCTGTTCTTTTGAACTCTCTATTGACCAAAGAATCCTATCAAATAAATTTCCACAAAAATATGAAGTAGCTCGACTGTTTTCAACATTGATAATAGTCAGAAACAGGGCCATGCACAGACATTTTGAGGGGCAGTGGCTCAAACCAAAAAAAAGTGGCACTAGGGGGGTGGGTGCTTATTAATACAAGTGATCCAGTTGTTACAAATATACAATTAAAAGAGAAGACAGCACACTCTGTAATAATGTTAAACTTTATTGTACATGTTTTGATATGAGTGGGCTCTCCCTCACTCTCTGAACCTGCTTCTGCCTCATCTTCAATGGAAGTATTGGAGAGTGGGGTAAGTTGACCCACCCCATGTATCTTGGCAACTGTACACTTTTACTGTCATGTGACCATGTATTTTGGAACCACCCATCATTTCTGCCAGACTGTGAAAAGCAGAAACACACGGGATTAGTGGAAGGCACCCATTTACTTTAAAAACTGTTTTTGGCTTGTCAAAGTAATAACAGATGTAATGGTAAAAGTTGTTACATCAAAGCAAATTTATCCAGGTCTAAACATTTTTATGATACATATAGGTGATTTAGCAACATATAAAACCATGCAAATCATTTAGCTAAATATTAGCCTGAACTGGTAAGCAACAGTAGCTTTTTTTTTTTTCCAAAATGGCAGCTATGGGGCAAAGTGAGCCAAATACTGTGGGGTAAATTGAGTCAGCATTTTAACTTACCCCATCATAAGGCACTGTATTTAAGTTACATTTCTGAATTATAAACTGGTGTTTTAATGTGATATTACTGGTTTAGTTTATCAAACAACTTTGGTGTTCAACATACAGGTGCATCTCAATAAATTAGAATGTCGTGGAAAGGTTAATTTCAGTAATTCAACTCAAATTGTGAAACTCGTGTATTAAATAAATTCAATGCACACAGACTGAAGTAGTTTAAGTCTTTGGTTCTTTTAATTGTGATGATTTTGGCTCACATTTAACAAAAGCCCACCAATTCACTATCTCAACAAATTAGAATACTTCATAAGACCAATAAAAAACATTTTTAGTGAATTGTTGGCCTTCTGGAAAGTATGTTCATTTACTGTACATGTACTCAATACTTGGTAGGGGCTCCTTTTGCTTTAACCCTTTGGGGTCGACAAACGCGGATACACGTTTTGTGACATCTTCTCTTGATAACACCAAAAATAACTTAAATTACACTTTCAGTTTTGATCTTACAGATGTGTACAGGTGTGAATCACATCATTATCCATGACTATTCACGCCCCCTCGCATATTCCTTTTCTACACAAAATGTGTCTTAGAAAATTTAAATCAATATATTGTTTTCTGTGAGTGAGTAAACAAGATGATTATCACATCATTCTGAAGCAAAAACTCTAGACTTCAAGATCAGTTCTCAAAAGTCTTGTGAACAAATGTTCTGTATGTGTTTTATGGCCTTATTTCAGTGACTTTAAAATTGTTTTTCACTAACAAACTCTCTGTTTAGTCTGTTTTTAGGAAGGCTACAACTTTGGTGTTCAACATATTGTTTCAGAAATGCAAACAATTAAATATTGAAATTTAAACTTAATTTGGTTGGTTTTATGTTGTTATAGTTAACTTTATGAAAAGAAATATGACTGTTTGTACAAGGAAATTATTAAATTAGTTTATATAGTGTTATTAATTTCACATGGGTTTGAATCAGATTTGGTCAGATGGTCATTTTACACCCAGATGGTGCATCTTACCCACTGACTCGACTCGGGTCAACTTACCCCTAACCCGGGGCAAACTGAGCCATGGGAACACTTTTATTATAAGAAGCCATATTTTTAGAACCCTTTGTCAAAGATACATTCTGATCATTCAAAATGATAGGAATACTTTCATTAGGAT